TACAAGGAGTATGCCACGGATAGATGTCCTGATTTCAAGGACTATCCCTGGTCGGAGAAGAATGAGGCCGTGGCTGAGGAAGTGAAGGAGATACGTCACATGGTGAAGGGATTGACGAAACAGGTTACAGAGATTGTGACCACTACAAGGGCCACGGCCTACCGGGACAAACCTGGAGGGCCCTATTCACTTCGCTGGGACCGTAGGAACAACGATTCCTAGAGGAGTGTCGAGGATAGAAATCCTCAGACGCTGACTGATTATCGTACGACGGGAAGAGAGAGAGGAGATGAGCCATGGCGACGTAGGGATGATGAGAAAGACCGAGACCGCAGAGATCGCGAGCCGTTTGCGCGAGCAAGGAGGCTGGATGAGTACCCGCGAAACCCTCGCTATGAGGCCGATCGGGGTAAAGGCGACTCCCGCGGCCGATGGGAGACAGATCAGGGCCGACGATATGGATATAAGGACGACAGATACGAGACATTGGACCGAGATGGATATAGGGACGACAGATACGAGAGATCGGACCGAGACGGATATAGGGACGACATATACGAGAGGTCGGGTCGAGATGGCTACAGAGGTGGTAGGTATGAAAGAGGAGATCGGGACTGGGAACGACGAGATGGGTCGCGTGGACGGTTTGAGCGCGGGGGAGATGCGAGAGAGCAGGGCGACTCGTCGCGGGGGTGGTACAACCGAGGGGACCGACGCGATGAGTCACGAGGGCGATATGACTCGGGGGACCGCCGGAATGATTCGCGAGGGCGGTATGAGCAAGGAGGGTCTAGAGGAGACCGCCGCAACGATTCGCTCGGTCCGAATGGGAGAGGGGGATATGGCGTCTCATCAGAACCATATCCCAAGTCGCCTGACCCTAAGGCAGTCAGGAGTTCGATCTCTAGAAGCGCAGACGACAGGCCATCTACTCCCAAGAACTCATGCGTCTACTGTAGAGGAGAATATCATATCAAGAGGGATTGCCCGGACCTCAAACGGGCAATAGATGAGGGACTTGTCATGCTTGACGACCGCAAGTACGTCAAGTGGGCAGATGGTCTGGGAGATGCATTGATGTTCCCTTCGATGAAGGAGAATGTCGAAGCAAGGAGAGTAAAGCCGAATAAAGAAAAAGAGCCGGTCAGGAGCCAGAGCATTAAGATAACCTTTGAGGGGGATATGGTGACCACACCCATAAGGGTGGCAGCCACCAAGTTGGCGAGAGGGTCTACATCGAAGAAGACTGACACGGATTACGTGATGGCGGAGAAGGACGGGCAGCGGGTCGATGGAGAGGAGGTTATCCTTTCGCCGCGAAAGCGGGGAGTGAAGAAGTTCTTAAAGAAGAGTTCGCTGGACGAGATTGACACGGTCGAGCCACTGAGGCGGGCCCTTCGGCAACCCATGCAGTGCTCTATTCTGAAGTACCTGGCGGCATCGAAGCCGGCTCGTGATGAGTTACAGATGATCATGGGAAGACTCGCATACCTCTATCGGAGGAGGGTCAGGGGGGCCCTAAGGCGGAAGCTTCTACAGTAGYAGTAACGGGGGTGACTGCCAGAGCGGATCGCATGGCGACAGTCCTTCTCGATGGAATGGAAGGTGTGCCTCMAGACAAGTTTTATATACTTGGTAGCGGGGCCGTGGAGA